CCTCACAGAGCCTGTTTTACCTACTCCTCTGTGTTGTGCTTTTTTTTGGGGGGGGCTTGTGTCTGGTAACCTTCACTGAATGTTTTTTGTTGCGCCCCAACTCACTTCCAGATCCTCCAAGAACTCTTCTATGATTGTGTCCGTTAGCACTGTTTAACTTCCACAGATTTCATAAAATCTATACAACTATTGTGCACAGTTTTGAAAAAATTGAACTGTGTGTTCAGTTATCTGCTCCATGAAAGTTGAGCTGCGAAGAATGTGCCGCAACATTCTTGCATGTGTGTAGATTTGGACGGTTCATAAAGGTTCCGAGGGTTGACGTCTCTAAAACAAATTTTTTTTCCAGAATGCTCAGCTGTCCATGGCTAAGTTGCGGGATTTCCAGCGAGCGATGGAGATGTTCGTGCACCAAGGACCAGCCAAGAACATTGAGGATGCCAAGAAGAAAGTCTACAACTTCTGGGACACCCAGCCCGTACCAAAAATAGGTATTCCGTCTTGCACTGAAAATGTGCGCACTATCTCCATATCTGCCCAAACTGTGACCCTGTCGGAACGACTGTCCGAACTCCTGATCTTCCTTGTCGTTTATCCAGGTGAAAGTATTGCTTCTGAAGTTAATGAGCCAGTGGAACCGGACAAGGCGGACATTCGCAGCGAGCCGTTCAGCCTCCCTGCTCAGTTTGTCTGGGACACCCTGGACATACATGATTCAGATACAGTAAGAACAGCACCCAAGGGGAAAATCCCGGTATTCAAATGTGGACGCTCGCTATCATGTATACAGCGAGCAGTTATCGTACACAGCAAATCAAGAGGGAAATGATCAGATTTGTTCAGTCTCTAGATGAATTAGGAAGTGCAAGTTCAGCCTCGTTATTCAAATATTTAGAGACCCTGTTAAAGCAAAAGAATATTACAAGTGCTCAAAAGTTACATTTTGCACCTTGTGGTCAGAGGGATGCACATCATGACATTTCTCAGTCCTGCATAACCTGAGTGAAACTGACTTGCATACCTCGCTGTTTTTCTCTCCCACAGTTGCAAGAGCTATACACCCTTTTGAACGAGAACTACGTAGAAGATGACGACAACATGTTCCGTTTTGACTATTCCGCAGATTTCCTCATTTGGTACGTGAAAAGCACTTTACCAACTCTAAAAATAGAGCGAGAAAACTGTTCTCTTGTTTGATTAAAGCGGATTTGTTTTTTTGTTTTGCTCGACAAGGGCCCTGACGCCACCCGGCTGGTTACAAGAGTGGCACTGTGGTGTCAGGGTGGCATCTAACAACAAGCTGGTGGGCTTCATCAGCGGGGTACCAGCTAATATTTGCATCTATGAGAAGTGAGTGAGCTGGTATAGATCATAAACCAACCCTCCCTCACCTCATTAGTATTTAGAAGGTCACAGTGTATTGGATTTCATTGCTTACCCTTGCGCAGCACTGGCTTCTCCCTTCCTGTGATTGGATTGGCTGAGCTGGCAAACAAGTCGGGATGCAGCACTCGGTGTATATGTCAAGTGAGAAAAAGTCCAACTTGACCCCATGTGCGATTGTCATGATGGAAAACGTGTCTTGACTGGCTTGCTTCTCTCCAATGCTATTCTGAACACATTACCAGTCATTAATTTCCATTTAAAACCCAGCAAGAGCTGAATAGGTAATCGAGAGCCATCAAACTTTAAAGACTGCTGAAACAGACTTACGTCAGAGCAAATTTCCGACATCATGTTCTGGACGTTCGCTACGTTAGCGTGGTGCATTTAATTCTAATCACATCTGAACGGTGATGAGATGGTTAATCCTCCTCTCTGAATCGATTGCCCACAGACAACAGAGAATGGTGGAAATCAACTTCCTCTGCGTGCATAAGAAGCTTCGATCAAAGCGTGTGGCACCTGTCCTGATCCGCGAGATCACCCGGAGGGTACACCAACAGGGACTCTTTCAGGCTGTCTACACCGCTGGCGTGGTCCTTCCAAAGCCAGTAGCAACATGCAGGTATGTGACAGTGATGGAGCATTTTTCTCATAATGATCTTCGTATGAATTTTTTTCCGGTAACGGTATCAGTGGAATCAGGTCAAATTCCCCATATGTGTCTGTGTACTGGGGCAAATCAAGTGGAAGCAATTTTGGATGGTTACAGCAGAAGGAGGGTTATTGAAGTCAGAATTCTGTGTTTTTTTTCTCCCTCAGGTACTGGCATCGGTCACTGAACCCCAAAAAACTGATAGATGTCAAGTTCTCACACATAGGCAGGAACATGACGCTACAGCGCACGATCAAACTCTACAAGCTGCCTGATGTAAGTAGCCAGCATAAAATCTGCCGATTAAAGCTTATATTTATTTAGCTGACAGGGTCCAGAGTTCATAAAAACTGCTCAGCAGAGTGCTAAGCGCTAAGTATATTTACATGTTATTGGGAAAGAATGGTTGAGAACCATTTTGCAGCCAGTATGGGTCAGAGCACTGTTTGTTAACCTGTTTCATGCTAAGCATGACAGTTGTGTGCTTACAGTAGAAGAGAAAAAAACTGCATTATTTTTGGTAGTTAGGAATCAATTTTGAAAATGTTCTAAGTAAACTAATCAAAATGTTGAATTGTCAATCAACCAGTTCTTCTGAACAATTTTTTCTGCACTTTCCACAACCAAAAACTCATTTTCAGTCGACCACAGACCTCTTGTAAACCAATAAATTGTGCCCTTAAAGAACGAAAATGCATTCTTTTGTGACGCCCGTGTTTTGTCTTTTTTTTTTCAGAAACCCAAGCTTGATATGCGGCCCCTGGAGCCTACTGATATTCCTACTTGCTGCAAGCTCTTCAGAAGCTACATGATGAAGTTCTCTCTGGCCCCAGTCTTCAATGAAGTAAGGCAGCCCTTCATGGCTACTGTGGCCACCTGCTGACAGGGACCACCTAGCTGTCGAGTGTTGTGACCAGCTTTCAATTTCAGCTAACTTCCATGTTATCCTGCTTTCAAGTGAATGTCAGATTAGACACAGCAGAATTCCTCTTTTTTCATTAAGTTTTAGACCCATTACATTAATGCTGACATGAAGATCTTCTTTGCTTTGTAAAATATTTAGTGTAATCCATAATCAGGACAGTCTTTTCTCTGAGTCAGTGGTGGTAGTGATTGGTCAGATGGTTTGGGATCGTAGAGTGACCAATGGGTTTATCTTGGACTGTGATTGGCCACGATCACAGATTCTGGTTACTAGTATGATGAGGAGCGACATGAGATTGCCATGTTGCACAATAGAAGCCCAGTATTCATTGCAATGGCCTTGGTCTGGCGTATTTTTGTCTAACAGGATGAATTCACCCACTGGTTCACACCCAGGGAAGGCATCATCAGTACGTACGTCTTGGAGGTGAGTGCAGCTTGGGTTCTCGAACAAAATTTGGAGGGGAGGGGCTAAGATTTCATGTAGGAGTAGGTGTCCTCGATTTCTCTCTACCCAGAAAGGACCAAAGTTCATTATGTTGCTTCACAAGTTTGCCTTCTCGTATGTCACTTGTTGATGCGCTTAGAGATGCTTATATGAATAAGGGAGGAAGAACAAAACCCATCGCCAAGGTGCTACCATGGCGACTCAGGTTGCCACGGGGACAGGAAAACAGACCTGAAGGGGAACACTGTGCGTGTGACTTTTGCAACGTCTACAACATTTTTGTGACTTCCTTTTTTGGGATGGCCTCTATCTTTGTCAGACGGATGGCGAGGTGACGGATTTCATCAGCTACTATACGCTCCCCTCCTCCATCATGCACCACCCAGTACATAAAAAGCTGAAGGCTGCCTACGCCTTCTACTCCGTTAGTACCAAGCACGACATAGTGGACCTTATGCATACTGCTCTCACGTTGGCTAAACAGGTAGGTGAAAAACTGTGGTGACTGATTGAAAATATTTGTCCCTGTATTGACGCGGGCATCCAAGTGAAGATTTTGTTTGTCATTGTCCAGACTGTGAGCTGGAGTTTAGCCTAGGGGATTTCTGAGCAAGGCACTTTTATAACAAATTTTTGCCCCTTTTGGAGGGTAAGCGGTTACCTTCAAGGGAGCGGTTATTGAATGATGATAAATTAAGTGAGTTACACTCATACAACCCCCCTGTGTGTGTGAAAGCTCATCACAAATAGTTTTGGTATTGAATGAAGTAGGTGCCTCAGGTGTCAGTAACGAGTGTAGACACCCAAAGGAGGTAGGACGTTGGGGTTTGCTTCCCTGGTCTTGATGGTAAGACCTTGAGCACCAGTCGGCTGGTATGATTTGCTTCATTTGCTTGCTTGTTTGTCCCCGCCCTCTTCCTTCATATTCCCAGGATGGCTTTGATGTCTTCAATGCCCTGGATCTCATGGAAAACAAGGCATTCCTGGAGAAACTGAAGTTTGGCATCGGAGATGGCAACTTGCAATACTACCTGTACAACTGGCGATGTAAAGGCATGGAACCACACCAGGTGAGTACCAGGCAAAGATCGCTGGAGACTGATTCAAACAGCTGCAGTTTGAAAGGGCGCTTTGGTCTACTAACTACTCTCCTTGTAAACTAATAGTTGAAAAGATCTGGCTTGACTGGGATATCTAGGAGTTATTGAAACATCCCTGAAAGGTTTGTTCCCTATTTTAGCAAATACAGAGAGTAGCAAATGATATTTAACCAAGATGTTTATACTGAAACTATTCTCATAACCATGTCTGCCGCTTGTCTTTTTTGGACGACCAAACTTGATCTTCTTGCGACTTGTGTCAGAAGTTGCATTGGATCATTCTGCCTGATTCTTTAAGTTAGCCTCTTGAGTGTCAGAACCGTTTATTCTTATTTTTCGTAATTGGATTCTCTTGGATTTTTCTTCCGAATCCAAACAGATTGGACTGGTGCTACAGTAGTGGGGCCCGTCATCGCTTGAACTGTCCACCAAAGGACTGAGGCCGACCAGATAGCAACAGCAAAATTCTTCAGCGGACGGAGGTTGTGCCGTCCCTGCACTACGGCATCTGCCCTCAGATGATCACAGATGATCACAGATGATCCCAGACTCGGACTGCTGCTGTCTTCAATCCTCTTCTCTGATCATATGTAGGAGTGAACCAGAAATGCACATCGGTTTGTTTCATGAAAAAGAAAAAAAAAAGTCATTTTAGGGGGAAACCTCAGAGAAGAGAACAAAAAAGTGCTTTATCAGCAGAATATGTTAGTCTGACAGATTTCACTGGTTACCTAACAGATTTCACTGGTGACCTACCCAAATATACACACACTATAAAAGTAAATATGCACACGGTGTAACAGATGTAATTGTGTGGGTCCTTTGAAACAAACAGTTCAAAGGACAGCAATACAGTAGGATATATATATATTGAAAAATTTTTCCCACAACTGAATGTGTATAATCCGTGTCTGGAATGTGAAGGGGCAGGGTTAAGACAAATCCTCGAGCTTGTGAAGACATTTTTTCTTATTTATTCCAAAGCTAAGTAATCATTCAAATTGCAAAATCAATTTGAAGGCCACTCCATTGACAGATATGGGCCAGTTTCTTAAGAGTTGCTGAACAATAAAAAAAAATTTGCCAAGCAAAAATTGGTCCGCAACAAGAGAGGTGTGATTCCACTTGAATTCATAAACATTGTCAACGTTATCAAGAAAGAGTTCACAAACATTGGCAGTGTTCTTGAGCTTTTTTGTTTTGTTTTTAAGATACCACATGTTGCAAGTTGCATTTCCATGAAGTAAGGCTCAGGTGAATTGAGTTTAAAATTTGGCAACAGGTGCCCCTAACCCTGCTGCAACAGAAGTGCAACAGAAGTGCAACAGAAGTGCAACAGTAACCAACAGCTGCGGTATGTTGCATTTAAAAGTCAACACAAGAGGTGCAACTTGACAGGGCCTAAGATGGTGTTTATCCATTGTCTGTACGTTGCAAGTCTGCTGTTGCAATGTGTTGCAGTTTGTTGAATTTTATTTTATTTAGCAGACTGACGGAGAACCCTATGAGCCGTCATTTCTGTCGCAGCTCAAAAGAAGGGGGGAGTATCTGTCCCCCGTTTCTTTCTTCACAGTAACTTTCAAGATCTAGCTTTGTATGTAAATGAATACCCACAGTCCGTAAGATAAAAGTTGGTGTAATTTAAATTGTTTATGACAAAAAATATGCAGTATATAATTTTTCCCATTTTTCCTACTGTTAAAGAAAAAGTAGATGATTTTTGCTGTTTTTTTTTTAATATAGAGGAATGAATTTTTGGCATTAAGAAATAAGAATCAAAATATGTGAGACAAATGCTTTGAAGCACAAACACAGCAAGCTATCGAATGATCTCATGTTTTCTTAGATTGAAGTATCATGAACTATTGAAATAGTTTGGTGATTGGCAGCAACCAAAGTAAGTCTGAATGCAAATAGGAATGCTGCATGGGGCCTACTTGGACTGAGACTTCCCACCATAATTGCTAAAAATTCCCACTTTATTTTCCAACTCATTCTTTGTTTGTTGGATTTGTAAATGTTTTGCATGTAACTTTGGCATCAAAGTTTTTTAAACTAACCAGTAAATACAAGCACTGGTTTAAAGAACGTTTCTGGTTAGAGTCTTTCATTAGTGGCCCAGTCGGATAATCCTAAGCAACGGCAACTGAAGAGCGGAAATTTCTTGGCCCTCTCCAAATTTTTCTTTTGAAAAGCATACCGCATTTTACTGGCCTACATTTAGTGTGCCTTCATTTCAAACACTTTGCCGCACTAGGATGTAGTACCTTAGTTAATCTGTGTCTCTGGCTTGGTGTCGGTGAAGAGACTTACCTTGGTGTATTGTTTGTCAGACTATTACAATGAGCTGAAAACTGCTCTTTTTCATGCAAATTCTTGTGTACATTTGCATATTAATTGGCATTAATTTGCATGTGAACAATGCACCTCCATTGATGTGATCTCCTCATTGTGCGTGTCACTTTTTCTAGCCTGGTTTCCTTCCACACTGTATACTGAATTTCATGTGTATACGTATTAAAGTCTGTTATTGCCTTCAAGTATGCCAGACCTGTTATTGGCTGTGTGCATGGGCCATTGAGGGCACTGTTGGGCCTGCTTGTTACCAGTGAAGTATCTTTGTGAAGCAAGGCTTCAAATGGAACGTGTACTTAGTGGTATAGTACCTCACAGTACGTGTTCCATATACTGCTACAGATCTGGTACTCATACTCGAGTACTTTTTGCTACTCACTCTCCTGCTCATGAAAATGTACTTGAACTTATACCTGCAAAAAGTTCCATGTATTCGTGCTTGCCAGGCATATATAAAAAACCTGGACTTGCAACGCCTTTGTATAAAAAAGAAGCCAACCAGCGGCCATTTTACTGAGCCAAATACAAATGCGTGGCTTGGCTCCCTTCTATTTACGTCAGGAAGAACAAAGGCGGGCAGTGCCAGGAAAGCTTTGTTTTCAGCTCGGTAAAATGGCTGCTAGTGGTTTCGATGATCTCTATAAGCTGATTAAGGCATTGTGAGTCCAGATTTTATTCCATGTCCATGTACTTGTGCAGAAGTATGAGTCATATTCACACTCATGGGAACACTACACGCCACATGTAGGTGTGGTGGCTGAATATGCATGCAGTTTCATGTGTGGATTTCAGTGTTTGTGTTGCAAGAATACGCCCGAGTGTGAGTACTATTCATGTGCATGACTGAAAATGTTCACTTATACATGTATGCAATGAAGTGTTCACGTTTTGACCTGTTATTGGTGCAGGGAAGCGTTTCTGGGTTGTATTCATGAAAGGAACTTTCCTGCCACTGGGATGTTGGTTACAGAGCTCTGCCCTACACTTCCTGAATACTTGACAGAAATCAATTTAGAAACTTTCATAGCTCATGTAATGAGCTTAAAGCATACATGGGTATTGCAAGTTATGGTAAGTTTATACAAATCGCCACTTGTATTTTTGGCTTAATCGAGGGGGGGGGGGCAATTTCGGGGGGGGAGAACCGAAAGATTTTGGAAAGTTTTCATGTAGACTGATATGGCCTTTGTTAGGGTTGAGACTACATTTTGGTCTTTTCTACACTCTTTTGGAAGAGAAAGGAGACAGACATTAAAAATTTCCTTTCATTCTTTTTCCAGAACAATTTTCTTGCCCCTTTTTTGCCCGCCTTGCATCTTTAATACAGGAGACGTGTACTTCTGGCAATAATAGACTCAAGCAGGTCTGACTTCCGGAACTGCTGTGATGTAGAAAAATGCTTAGAAGGGAACCAGTCATACGCATCGTGCACTGCCTGACATTTAGCTGGCGATCTGCCTTTTACTGAGACTCTTCTCTGCTCGGCTTACTGATGTGCTCAGACGTTCTGTGACGTTGTTCAGGCTGATGGAATGACGAGCCACTTACAAATGTTTCAGAAGCCAAGAAATGGAAATTTGCATATTAATGACAGATTAAACATCCATGATACCAAAACATTGAGAATGATGTTACCATTTGCACTGCTGTGTTGAGTGACCTGTGATATGACGTAAGATAATCCGTGACCCCTTACAACAGATGGTTCCATACATTGTATGGGTAGACATGAACATGCGCACTGTTTAATTACCAAGTGTCAGAGGTGGCAGCAAGTCATTTTTTGCAAGTCCAAGTCACAAGTCAATTGGTCTAAACACAAATCAAGTCTTTGTCCAAGTACAAGTCCAGCTGCACACTATTTTGTCCAGCTGTAATCAGCAAAAAGAACCAGGTGTCAACTTAAGAAGTTACGAGTTATAAAATATATGGGGCCGGTCGAGTAGCGTCCGACTCTTGGGTTGGTAACAAGTCATTTTTTGCAAGTCCAGGTCAAGTCACAAAAATAGCGAATCTAGTCTGACTCAAGTCCAAGTCGCATGACTCGAGGCAGCAACTCACATATGCAGCAAGGTATGAGACAAAGAGAACCCCCCCT